AAAAAAAAACAAATGTGTTCTTTCCATTTTGCAAGGTTTACAGATGCCTAAAATATGTAATAATTAATTAACAGGTGTAATAGCAGACGCAGAGAAAGAGAAGGGGAAGTTAGCGAAGGAAGGGTGGTCGGTGGTTTATGATGATGATGATGATGATGATGCGCGGGACAATAAAGAGGCAAGAGGTGCTGTAGTTCAAAGTTTTGTTAGGGATCAGTTCGTCTTTGACAAAGAGCCAAAGGAGGGCAAGTCCGTCGTTAAGTCCGACGAAAAGATAATTATCGATCGATCGCCAGTCGTCGAGCCGACGATAGTTAAGCAACGTTTCGTTCGCGATGGGAAGGGTGATTCGAACGTTACGATCGTTGCGTCGAAAACTGTGGTTTCAACGACCGGCGACAAAGATCAGTCGCCGGTGATCACTAAGACTGTCACTGTTCGAAAGATAGACGACACCGTGGTACCCACAGACACGGTGGCAATCTCCAACGGCAAACAGAGTGTCGTCGTGAGCGAGAAGGAACAGCTGTCGAAAGAAGGTAAGGAAATCGACGAGAAACAAACCACTCCAGTCAAGACGCAAGGCGCGAAAGTTGCGTTGGAGAAGGCTAAGGAAGTCTCGCGAGACGAACAGAAGCAGCAGTTACCGAAAGAGACGGTTGTGAAAGCCAACATTCCTAAGGAAACGAAACCGAACGCGAGCGACAAGCAAGTGTCCGCTTACGAGAGCGTGTACAGCGTTCGGTATTCGTCGGCTCAGCCGACGGAGGAGAAGCAAGAGGACGAGCCGAAGAGGTCGAAGGAGAAGAGCGGAGGCATACTCTCAGGTATTTTCAAGGGATCGAAACTTAAGAAGAGCAAGTCGAAAGGATCGAAAGACACGTCGTTCGACAGTGGCGACGAGGAAGTGAAACCAGAGCAACAACACCAGACGCAACAGCCTACTTTCGTCGCGTATCGTACACAGGTGGACTCGAAACCTGGCGAAACGATCCAGGCGATACCGGACGTCAAATTGGCCACCGAGCAATTTTTAGAGGACTCGAGGCACGTTGCCTCGGACGTCCACGTGCCTATCATCGCGGTGTCTTCGACGAAGATCGACGAGACGAAGGAAACGAAAGACGAGCCAGAAGCAACAGCCCAGGACGAAACGGACGATCGTTCTGGAACAGTGGCAAGTGATGCAGGCGATCAAGAGAGAGAGAAGGGCGGTGGTTTCTTCGGTATGTTCAAGAGTCCCAAGTCAAAGGACAAGAAACTGAAGAAGGGCAAGGAGACGTCTCTGGACAGCGGCGACGAGGAGCTTCGAATCGCCACGGAGAAATTCTTGGACGATACGCGAAAGGTTGCCGAAGCCACGGTCGTTCCCTCGGCTCCTGAAGTCGACGCGAAACATACGGATCTGCACACGTTCACCTCGCCGGTTCGTTACGACGAGGACACGCCCAAGGATAAGATAAACGGGCACTCGTACGACATCTCGGAGATGCAGAAGAAATTAGAAGGCATTCCTCACAAGGAAATGAACGGGAAATCGGACGTTAAAAAACAGAAGGAGCAGAAGGAGCGAAGCGTGGAGAGGTACAGCGACTTGAAGCCAGAGGCAAAGTCCGATTCGCCGGATAAACAAGTGGAAAGCAAGAAGGAAGCGGAGAGGGAGGACAAGGACAAGAGCGGTGGTTTCTTGAGCATGTTCAAGAGCCCGAAGCTGAAGAGTAAGAAGAGAAGCTCGTCCAAAGAGAAGAGCTCGTCCAAAGAAACGTCCTTCGACAGCGGGGACGAGGAAGCGCGACAATTGACAGCCAGTTTCCTGGACGACACGAAGAGAGTCGCCGACAGTTTGCATCGTGAGGATGCATCGAAGCCCGTCACTGAGAAACTAACAGCGATTCCCGATCCCGCGTCCGCGGAACACGCGGACAAAGAGGAGAGGAGCGGCATCTTCAGCAAATTCCGAAGTCCCAAGTTGACGAGAGCGTCGCGAAGCAGGTCTCGAGAGAAGAGCACACCGCCGCAGGAGCCGGTGATAAGTCCGGGCAGCACGATCCGAGAGGCTACGGAGAAGTTCCTGGAAGATTCGAGGAACCTTGCAAGTTTGACGTCCGATGTGCCGGACAAAGCAGACGACGCGAAGAAATCGAAGGAGGTCGACGACGTTGACGACGCGAAGAAGAGGATATCTTCCGGAATAGATACGGTGGTGGATACCGCGGAAACCGCGAAGGACAAGGCTGCGAGAGAAGCTAAGAAAGCCAAGGAGAAGACCGGTGGTTTCCTGTCTGGACTGTTCAAGGGGGCGAAACACGCTGCGGACGAAGCTTCCGAGGAGACGAAGGACGTTCTCGACGAAACGAAGAAACAGGTCGGTGAAACAGTGGAAGGGAGACTGAAAGACCTCGACGCGACGAAAGACAAATTAGTCTCGGAAGCAAAGGAGGAGAAGGACAAGATCAAAACTGTTGTTAAAGATACGAAGGATGCAGTTGGCGAGAAAGTGTCCGAGGCTGCGCAGAAAGTGTCGGACACCGGTAAAGCTGTTGCTGAAAAAGCAGACACTTCCTTACAGGACGCGACCGACAGCGTGAAAACTGCAAAGGACAAAACAGCTGCGAGGGCGAAAGATGCTAGAGAGACGGTAGCAGCAACTGCCAGAGACGCGAAGGACAAGGTGAGCGAGAAAGCAGCCGAGGGAGCGAAGAAAGTGACTGACACGGGTAGAGCGATCTCTGAGAAGGTGGTCGAGGGTGCAAAGGATACCGAGGCGAAAGCGGAATCGGCTGCGCGAAGCGTGGCTGATGGCGCGAGAGCAGCGAAGGATAAAGTCGCCAAAGAGATCAAGGAAGACACTGAAATAGCGAAGCAGAAGGTATCGTCTGGAATGGACACGGTGATAGATGGTGCAGCAGCCGCGAAGGACAAGGCTGCGAAGGAAGCTAAGAAAGCCAAGGAGAAGACCGGTGGTTTCCTCTCGGGATTCTTCAGAAGCGCGAAACACGCGGCAGACGAAGTTTCAGAGGAAGTGAAAGACTTTGTCGACGAAACGAAGAAAGAGGCTGCGGAGGAGGAAGCTCGTGCTCGCGAGACAGTTGCGGAGAAGTTGAAGGAGGCCGACACGGCGAAGGACAAGGCAGTTGCGGAGGCAAAGGCTGCGAAGGACAAGGTAGCATCCACCGTGAAAGATGCCCGAGACACGGTAGGTGAAAAGGCATCGGAAGCTGCGCAGAAGGTGTCAGACACTGGCAAAGCTGTTGGCGAGAAAGTAGCCGACGGAGCGAAGCATGCCGAAGAAAAGCTAGATGCCGCGGTGCGTGACGTGGCAGCAGCGAGGGACAAAGTCGACGAGGCACGGAAGATAAAAGAGAAAATTGCGGATGAAGCTGAAGCCGCTGCACGAGAAGTTGCCGAGGGTGCTAAAGCAACGAGAGATCACGTGGCTAAGGAGATTAAAGAAGACGCCGAAGCAGTGAAGCATAAGGTAACATCTGGAATAGACTCGGCAGCGGATAGCGCAGTGGCAGCGAAAGATAAGACTGCCAGGGAAGCGAAGAAAGTCAAAGAGAAGACTGGTGGGTTCCTCTCTGGCCTGTTCAAAGGTGCGAAACACGCAGCGGATGAGATTTCAGACGACGTGAAAGACTTCGTCGAGGAAACAAAGAGGGAAGCTTCGGAGGAGAGAGCTCATGCGCACGAGGCAATGGAGAAGAAGCTCGAGGACGTGGCTACAGCCAAGGATAGAGCAGCTGCTGATATCAAAGAGGCAAAGGATAAGGCTGCAGTTGCTGCGAAGGATACGAAAGATAAAATCAAAGGCGTCGCGCTAGACACCAAGGACAGGATCAGCGAGAAAGTGTCCGATGCTGGGAAATCTGTGGGTGAAAAAGTAGCAAACGAAGTCGAGGAGATTGGCAAGTCTGCCGACGCTGCTGCTCAACGGGTAGCTGAAAGCACGGAAACAGCTAAAGACAAGATACTTACGGACGTGAAAGATGTCAAAGACAAAGCTGCGACTGCGGTAAAAGACAGCAAGGATAAAGTCAGCGAGACTGGGCAGAAGATATCAGACGCTGGTAAAACAGCCGGAGAGAAAGTCGCAGACAGCGTGGAAAAGATTGGAGACAAGACGAAGGCAGCTGTTCGCGAAGTAGTCGAGGGTACGACAGCGGCGAAGGACAAAGTAGCGAAGGAAATCCAAGACGACGTTGACGCTGCAAAGGAGAAAGTTTCGTCGGGCGTAAGTGCAGTCGCGGATGGTGCAGCCACGGCGAAAGACAGAGCGACGAAGGAAGCGAAGAAAGCCAAGGAGAAGACCGGTGGTTTCCTATCGGGGCTGTTCAAAGGTGCCAAACACGCTGCCGACGAAGTTTCCGACGATGTCAAGGACTTCCTCGAGGAAACGAAGAGAGAAGCGTCGGAGGAGAAGGACCGCTTGCGCGACACAGCAGACGCAAAGTTGAAAGATTTGGAAGCAGCGAGGGACAAAGCAGCCGGGGACTTGAAAGAGGCGAAGGACAAGGTTGCAGCTTCTGCGAAGGACGCCAAAGACACGGCCCTTGCCAAAATGTCGGACGCAGGCAAAGCTGTCGGTGAAAAGGTAGCCGACGGAGTGAAACGTGCTGAGGAGGAAAGCGAATCCTTGGCTCGAGGAATAGTGGACGGTGCAAAGGAGACGAAGGATAAAGCGGCCGCAGATTTGAAGGGTGCTAAAGACAAGGTTGTCACCGCTGCCAAGGATACCAAGGAGAAGATAGCTGAAGGTGCGCAGAAGGTAGCCGACGCCGGTAAAGCTGTTGGCGACAAAGTGGCCGAGGGAGTGAAAGACGCTGAAGCGAAAGCCGACGCAGCGGCGAGAGAAGTGGCTGATGGTGCAAAGGTAGCGAGAGAGAAGATAGCGAAAGAGATGAAAGAAGACGTCGACGCGGCGAAGCAAAAGATCTCATCTGGCGCAGAGGCAGTCGCAGATGGTGCCGCGGCTACGAAGGATAAGGCCAGCAAGGAGGCAAAGAGAGCGAAAGAGAAGGCGGGTGGTTTCCTCTCGGGGCTCTTCAAGAGTGCAAAACACGCAGCAGACGAGGTCTCTGACGACGTCAAGGACTTTGTTGACGAAACGAAGAAGGAAGCTGCCAGAGAGGAAGCTCGTGCGCGCGACGCGGTGGCAGAGAAGTTGAAAGACGTCGATGCAGCGAAAGACAAAGCAGTCGCGGATGTGAAAGGCGCGAAGGCGAAAGTTGCAACTGCTGTGAAAGATGCGAGAGACGCTGTTGGCGAGAAGGTGGCTGACGGCGCGCAGAAGGTATCCGATGCTGGAAAACTTGTTACTGACAAAGTAGTGGACGGTGTCAAACAGACCGAGCACAAGGTAGAATCCACTGCGAAAGACGCTGCTGATACTTTGAAAGCGGCCAAGGACAAAGTAGTTACCGACACCGTGCAAGCTAAAGACAGAATTGTAGACGCTGCCAAAGACGCGAAAGACAAGGTTGGCGAAAAAGCAACTGAAGCTGCGCAGAAGGTGTCTGACACAGGCAAGATTGTGGAGGAGAAAGTAACAGATGCTGCGAAGAAAGCTGGGGAGACAGTCGACGATGCAGCAGTCGGCGTCAAGGCAGCAAAGGACAAGGTAACTAAAGAGATCAAAGAAGATACCGAAGCAGCGAAACAGAAAATAAGCTCCGGGATAGACTCGGCGGTAGACAGTGCAGCGGCAGCGAAAGACAAGGCCGCGAAAGAAGCGAAGAAAATGAAAGAAAAAGGCGGCGGTTTCCTCTCCGGGTTGTTCAAGGGGGCGAAACACACCGCGGACGAAGTCTCGGGAGACGTGAAGGAGTTCCTCGAGGAAGCAAAGAGAGAGTCCTCCCAAGAAAAAGTACTGGCGCACGAAGCGATGGATAGAAAGATGGAAGAAGTGGCCGAAGCGAAAGACAGAGCGGCTACGGGAATTAAAGACGCAACGGATAAAATCGCGACCTCTGTCAAGGACACGAAGGATCAAGTTGAAACGAAAATTTCCGACGGCGTGCAAAAAGTGTCAGACGCTGGGAAAGCTGTTGGCGAGAGGATCGAAGACGGAATAAAATATACCGGAGATAAAGTGGAATCCGCGACTCGAGATCTGGCCGACGGTGCAAAGGCAGCGAAAGACAAAGTGGTCACCGAGGTAAAAGAGGTCAAGGATAAAACTGTGGGAGCTGTGAAGGACACTAAGGACAAAGTCAGCGAGAAAGTAGCAGACGGCTCGCAGAAACTGGCAGACACTGGTAAGAAGGTGGAGGAAAAGATAGCGAGCGGCGTGAAAACAGCGAAAGCGTCTGCTCACGAGGTAGCTGAAGCTGCGAGATCGACGAAGGACAAACTGGAGAAAGAAATTAAAGAAGACACGGCCACGACGAAGCGAAAGATCTCGTCGGGTATAGACGCGGTTGCAGATGGCGCAGACGCGGCTAAGGAAAAGGTTACGAAGGAAGCGAAGAAGGCCAAAGAGAAAGGCGGAGGCTTTCTGTCGGGTCTGTTCAAAGGGGCAAAACACGCAGCCGAGGAGGTCTCGGAAGACGTGAAGGAATTCTTCGACGAGGCAAAGAGGGAAGCAGCCGAGGATGAAGCGCGTGCTCGTGCTTCCGTGGAGAAAACATTGGACGACGTCGACGCGGCAAAGGATAAAGTTGCCGCAGAGGCTAAAGAAGCGAAGGACAAGGTGGCAACCGCTGTAAAAGACACCAAAGATAAGGTTGGTGAAAAAGTATCCGATGGCGTGAAAGCGGCAAAGGACGTTGGCAAAACTGTGGGCGATAAGGTAGTGGACAGTACGAAACAGGCAGAGGCTAGAGCAGAAGCTGCTGCTCGAGAGGTAGCTGATGGTACGAAAGCGACGAAAGACAGGTTAATCGCAGGTATCAAAGACACTGCAGACACGTTGTCGACTGCAGCGAAGGACACGAAAGACAAAGTCAAAGACAAAACGTCAGAAGGGGCGCAGAAGATATCGGACGCCAGCGAAGCCATTGCAGATAGCGTGGAGAAAGCGAAGAATAAAACGGAAGCAGCTGCCAGTGGACTCGTGGAAGATGCAAAAGCAGCGAAAGACAAAACGGCCAGAGAGATCAAAGACGACGCCGAGGCCGTGAAACAAACTATTTCTTCTGGAATAGATGCTGCAGTAGACGGTGCAGCGTCTGCCAAGGACAAAGCTGCTAAAGAAGCTAGGAAAATCAAAGAAAAGGGCGGTGGTTTCCTCTCAGGGTTGTTCAAAGGCGCGAAACAGGCGGCTGATGAAGTATCCGACGACGTCGGAGAATTTCTCGACGAAAGCAAGAGGGACGCGTCGGAGGAGAAAGCTCGTTTACACGATGCAGCGGACGCAAAGTTAAAGGATGTCAAAGCAGCGAAAGATAAAGCAGCCGCGGATGTCAGAGATGCATGGGACCAGGTTGTGATTGCAACGAAGGACACGAAGGATACGATCGGTGAAAAGACGTCTGCTGTTGGCGATAAAGTGGCCGACGAAGCGAAACATGCAGTGAAAAAAATGGACACCAAGATTCAAGAATTAGCTGACGAAGCAAAATCAGCAAGAGATAAAGCAGCCGCTGATGCCAAAGACGCGAAAGAAAAGGCGGCGACAACTGCCAAGGACACAGTGGACAAAATTAGCGAGAAGCTGACCGATGGTAAACAAAAGGTAACAGACGCTGGTAAAGCAGTGGGAGAAGGTATCGCAGACAGTGTTAAAAAGGCAGGAGATCAAGTGGAAGCAGTTGCAGAGGACGTAGCCGGTGGTCTGACGGCAGCAAAGGACAAAGCAGCCACGGAAATTAAGAAGGATGCTGAAGCTGTAAGACAGAAAGTTCCTTCGGGCATAGACACAGTTACGGACACAGCGGTGTCTTCCAAGGACAAAGTTGCAAAGGAAGCGAGGAAAGCAAAGGAAAAGACCGGCGGCTTCTTTTCTGGATTGTTCAAGAGCGCGAAACACGCGGCGGACGAAGTCTCCGAGGAAGTGAAAGACTTTGTCGACGAAACGAAGAAGGAGGCTGCCGAGGAAGAAGCACGTGCTCGCGAGGCAGTGGCAGGAAAATTCAAGGATCTCGACTCGGCGCGAGAAAGAACAGCTGCTGACGTGAAAGATGCGAAAGATAAGGTTGTGAGCGCTGCAGTGGACGCGCAGGACAAAGTCAGCGAGAAAGTGTCCGACACTGTGCAAAAGGTGTCGGATGCTGGTAAAACGTTAGGCGAGAAGATCTCGCACGGAACGAAAGAGGCTGAAGCGAAAGCGGAGACAGCGGTTGAAGACCTAGTTACAGGTGCAGAAACAGCAAAGGCCAAAATAACAGCGGACGCAAGAGACGTTAAAGACAAGGCTGCATCTGCCGCGAAGGACGCCAGAGATAAAGTCAGCGAGACTGTGTCCGACGCTGGTAAAACAGTCGGCAGGAAGGTTGCAGAAGGTGCGAAGAAAGTCGAGGAGAAAGCGGACAAAACTGCTCGCGACATATCTAGCGGCGCCAAAGCAGCGAAAGACGCGGTGGTCAAAGAAATAAAAGACGACACGGAAGCGGCGAAGCAGAAAGTGTCAGGAGCCGTGGATACAGCGGTGGATACCGCAGCATCTGCCAAGGACAAAGCTGCCAAGGAAGCTAAAAAAGCTAAGGAGAAGACTGGCGGTTTCCTCTCTGGATTGTTCAAGGGTGCAAAGCACTCGATCGATGAAGTTTCCGACGACGTGAAAGATTTCCTTGACCAAACGAAGAGGGAAGCTTCCGAAGAGAGATCTCGCGCGCAAGAAGCGGTAGAAAAGAAACTCGAAGACGTGGCTGCAGCGAAAGACAAAGCAGCTGCCGACGTAAAGGATGCGGCAGACAAAGCTGCGACTGCTGCGAAGGATACCAAGGACAGAGTGTTTGCCAAAGTATCTGATACCGCGCAACAGATATCGGATGCCGGAAAAGCTGCCGGTGAACGAGTAGTCGACGGTGCGAGGAAAGTCGAAGAACAGGTAGATACTAAAGTTCACGACGCAGTTGACAGTGCGAAAGCAGCCAAGGACAAGGTAGTGACCGATGCGAAAGACGCGAAGGATAAAGCCGCGTCTGCTGCGAAAGACGCAAAGGACAAGATCGGCGAGAAAGTGAGCGATGGCGCGCAAAAGATATCAGAAACTGGTAAAAAAGTAGAGGAGAAAGTAGCGGATGGGGTGAGAAAGATTGAAGACGAGACAGAAGCAATAGCGCGCGATATAGCCGATGG